CCTACACATGTCTGCAGTCTATTTCCACAGGGAAGAGAACTGCAAAGTTCCAAGAACAGTGTTAACTCAAAGCCATTGCACAGAGACCATTTTCTTTAGTTCTGATATTCTGCCTAAATGGTAGTTTAATGAACTAACATGCATCTATAAAGAGTAGATGCCATGAAATTTGTAAGAAGCGAATTCACTTGAAGTAAATTGCATTGAAAATACCATTTCTACATCTTCTGCTTCTTGCTGAATTTAGTTATAAAATACTAGAGAAACCATAATGCACAGATTTTAGTGACTAATATTTATGTGCAGTCTTAAATATCAACAGCTAGAGCCACTTTCTGTTAATGATAGGACTGGATGTGATTTCTTAGGTAAAGACAGCTTCCTTAGCTTACCTCATATCACGGCATCTGGTATCTCTAATTGGAATCATTTTCATAATAACCATGAGCAATATACATTACTATCTAAATATGAAGGCTGACTGCAATACAGACTTGTCTACAGCACTTGAAGTATCCAGCATCCAGTCCAAAGCCCCTTAAACTCGAGGGAAAGACTCCTGCTGCTGTGTCTTATCTTAATCAGGTTCAATATATCTAAACTCCCCCCCGAAACTCCTCGTAAGAAAGCAGGAGTTTTCAGTGCAACTCTGCCAAACCCCTCCGAAGGTGGTGGCCCTTTCTGTTACTAAGTAAGGCCTAATTCAGTCAGGATTTAGATACTTGCACAACTTGAAATGCCAGACTCGTTCTGTGGATTTTTAAGGAAGTTCAAGGCATTCAGTAGGATGGTCTGCTCACTACTTTACTACTTATGAGTGCTTAATTGTTCAAAATTGTGCTGTTTCATTAGGAGTAGTAGAAAATTACCTAATTCATAGAGAAATACTAATTTGTATGGTGTTATGAGCTTGTTTTGAATTATTTCAGGAAAATCTTGCTCCCTAAGGAACACTCATAAATTCATAACCTATCCATTGTCAAAGTCTTCAGCAGTAGACATTTAGGTTATGTTGAAAGTGTAATGTTTTATATTCATCACAATATTCATCAATTGTTCTCAATAAGAATAAGCAGTTGTCAATAAGATAAGAATACATGAATTTATCTTAACCTGGAGAATTTCTCCAAAAGGGACAAGAAATCCTACTGCTAAGTTAAAAGGAAAAGAAAGGGTTTAATTAGAGTCCCCTAACGACTGCACACACAGGGTTTGTTTAAGCTGAAATTTTACATAAAAAGGTGCAAATGCTTTTAAAGAGAACCATCCCAGATTGCATTTTCTCGCTCTCTCCCATATAATTGTAAACAGCTTTGATTTCAAAGGGAAAATCAGACAATTATTTTATAATGAGAGGTGTGGTCTAGTGATTCGAGCATCAGACTGGCAGCCAAAAACCACTGGAGTTTTAATCCTGGCTCTGACACTGACACCGTCCACTGCCTTGGGCTAATCAGCAGGGGGCTGACTGAGATCTGCTCCTTGTGGGTGCAAGAGGCAGGGACAGCTGCAGAATTCCTGATCCAAAGCTCCAGAGGTGAGCAAGAACCTCCCCAGCGCTGCAGCCAGCCCGTGCCCAGCGTGCCCCTGCACTGAAGGGCACAATCCCTGACCAGAGGAAGAAATTAAACCCACGCAACGTTCACCTCGGGCGAGCTGAGGTTCAGGAAAGCCAGAGTTGCTAAGTGCTGTCAATAAAAGCTTTCAAACTTCTTTGCATAAGCATATTTGAGTAGGTCTGTGCTTTGAAGCAAGCCTGTTGCTTAGGTCGAGGGGTGAGTAAAGCCAGTCTTGCCTTTAGAACACTCCCGGCACCTCGGGAGATTTTTGTTTCCTTTAAGCACCTTGTAGTTAAATTTTTAGTCATTGTTTTCTTTCTTCCTGTGTGCTCCCATCCCCCAGTGACCCCCAGCTTTTCCCTGTCCTTTTGCTTCTCAGTACAATTCCTCCTGTCTCATTGAGTTGTCTGATTTCTTATCCTTGATTAATACAAACACAGACAAAACCCTCATCCTTGGGGATTTTAATTGGAAGGTTGATTGCCTTTTCTTCTTCGCTTGCACATTTTCCATCACTTCAGCTTCCTTGGGGTCCACAGGCAGACTTTCAATCTCCCTCCTCACATTCACCATCATGTTCTTGATCTTTGCTTGCTTGGGGCTTGACTCCTTCTAATATAAATGTTAGGCATCTTGCCATTTCAGATGACAGATCAGCTCTTTGATGTGTCTAATTATGATGGAGAGGGGGCAGAGAAAGCAGGACCTCCTGAAGCCAGGATAAATTTGCTGTCCATATAAACTCTGAGCAGCAATGTGTCCCTCTGCTTCCCCTCTGGTACGTGACAGCTTGCTAGACTCAAACCCTGCCCTACCCAAAAGAGTTCCATGAATACCCAGCACAAGGGAAGTTTTTACATTTGAACCTGTTTAATTTGAAAGGGGAAACCTGTCAGAAGCCTGGATGCCAAGATGATAGGGAGGGGTAGCAGAATGGGGAGTTCTACCTCAACTTTGCATGGCAAAAGCAGAGGTGGCTGACTGAAAGCAATCTAGTGAGAGAATCTTGTTCCTCCACCTCCTCTCACCCTCCCTTTGTTGCTGCCACAGATTGACACTCAGTATTTATGTTAGTGCTTTGCAGAAGTCATCAAATTCTACCTCACAACACCTTTCTCTGCTGAATTTTCTGTTCAGTTTTACGGATGCTGTTCAGAGAAGAAGGGCCGTGCTGCTCTGAGGGCCAGAAGTTCAGGAGCACACCAGGCTTTAGTCCCTTCTCTTGCTCTTAAGTAATTTAGACATCTTCAGAGAGTCCCATCGCAGGTTCCTTCACTGTGGTTAAGAACCAAACTTGTGGCAAAGCTGGCACTGGACTCAGTCTGGGGTTTGTGACAACCAGGGCTGACCTCAGCTCACAGTTGTTGTCCAGGACTTTAACCAGCACCCCTCTCTATCTGTGTTTGGGGAGGAGCTGCCTTGCTTGGCAGAAGGGGGAGAAGATGGGACAGACCCTTTAACACTGCAAACTCTCTAAGGGCTGTGCTGCTGAACTTGTGCTGCTCCTCTGGTGCACGTGTTTGCCCACAGAGCTCATGTACAGCTCCTACCTGTGCTCTGGTTGTGGCTGCTCTGTTCAGGACCAGGGCTCTGTTGAGGTGCATGTTTTATAAACACATGAAAGGCCATGGTCCCAGCCCTGAGGTACTTGAAGTTGTTAGCAAATCTCACAGACACTTCTTAATATGAATTTATTGTTGATCTGTCTGCCCTAGAGCTTGAAATTCTTTATTTATCTGCCAAACAGGCACAGCAGGAGTTTCAGCATTGCTTCCCCTTATAATACCCAGCTAATGTGCTTCAAGCCTGACCTACAATGATCATCTCCTGGGAAGAAAGCTTGGGTTAGTCTTCCTTCCACTCAGCATTCAGCCCTTGATCTTTCTACCAAAATGGGAAATCAGTGCTAGTGAAATGAACACTGATCAACAGTGACAAAACCTTTCACCTCATTTCAGGCAGGAAGCTGGGGTTGCATTTGTGCTGTTGTCCTTGAGCAGAGAGTCTTGAGTGGAGAGTTTCCTACCGTCTCTCTTCCCTCTTCACTTTTCAGAGCAAATGCAGAAACCTGCTTTAAATTAAACAGCCACAAGGTGAAGGGAAGTAATGTTCTAGTGACAGAGTGACAGTGTGAAAGGCAGCAGTGAAGGGGATTGTGCAGCAGAGGTGGAGGGAGTACATCTATCAATATTTACTGAGCAGCATTGCTTTTCCATCCCGTGTTTCTCAGCCCTTCATCTTTACACAGCCCTGCCCTGTAAAAGCTTTGCACTTATTCCTGTGCATTTCCAAACAAGAAACCTCCTTTCTGGCTCTGATCTTTGGTGACAGGGCTGAGGAAGATCATGGAAGCCTTTCTCTCCATGGGTGCCCTCTACCCACCCCAGAGGAGAGATTAATAGTTTCTGAAAGCATTTCCACCCTACAGAAAGGTCACCAGAGTCCCGAGGAAGATGAATAAACAGGGGTTCATCAAGACTCCGTAGTAACGTGGGAGGGACCTCTTCCAGCAAAAATATTGCCACAAAATTCTGAACAGTGGTGATTTCAGAGTAGCTGGAGGTTGGCAGGTGACCTCCTGGGCTGTTGTTTTTCACACAGTGCAACACAACCCAACCACTTCCACGGGTGTATTTTTTTAACAGTTTTGTTTGCATCAAGTGTTTGTGGTCGTGTGGCCTGTGTTCTGTGTTCTGTGCTGATTAAGGCTGTAGGAGGATCTATCCCTGTCATCTTATCTTCCAGAGGCTTTGGGATTCACTTGGAGCTGTGAGTTAGGGCGGGGTTTTCCTTCAGTTATTTTATGCCAAATCTATCACCTCAATATTTATTGTTCCAGCTCTGGGCAGTGGAGTTAACCTGAATGAAAGGGTTATACACTCTTGAGTATCCTCTCAGTGCTTCCTACAACTTTTGGGGCCTGATAAACTGAGTACCTTAGTCCAACAGTATTTATCTCCTTCTTAAAGCAGGATAAATCTACCAGAAAAACCAGCAGAAACTCAGCTAGAGCAAAAAATCCTTCCCTTTAGGTTTTCTGTTCACTGATTTAGGACGGGGCAGCCACATTGCAACGTGTTTTCCTCCTAAATAAATTCCATACGTGTGATTTATACACACATACACACACAGAGTGAAGGTCATTATCCAAAGTTGCAAAATCAAATTACCTATGGTAATGCTCATTTGAAGATATAATGTTAAGTAGTCTTACTGCTAAAAAGAGAGGGAAAAATGTCTAAAATGGACTGGTGCAATTTTGTCAGATTATCATAAACTCCCAAACCTAAGCTACAAGAATAGCTGATCCTGACAGATGCTTGCTGTTGGAGTGCCCACATAGGGAGAAGTCTGATTATGTATCTGGTGGGAGGCATAAAGACAGAAGAAAGTTGATTTGCTTTATCCTGTCAATCTAATGATTCACTTTTCAGGTCACACTTTATCTACACACAATGTTTATTTAGACAATGAAACCATCAGTGCCATTGATAGAATCTAACACGCCAGCAGAGATGTTTTTCTCTCCCACTATTTTCTTTTGGTGCTGGAGTGTGTATTCCTGCCACAAAAGTCTTTTTATGGAAAAAAATATTTTGTTATAAGCACTATCATCGTGTGTTGTAATTATTATTTTGTTTTACCCTGCCCACACAGAAAACTGTTTGCATTATATTCCATTGAAAGATACATTTTAAGTTATCTCTGGTAGTCATGAATTATGTAAATTGACAAGAACTATTATGGAGGCAGGTAGACAAAGAAACAGAAAGTTAAGTGGTTTCCTTTCTCTTTATGGCAGAGTGACATTTACCTGTAAGTGCATTTGATTTTAACACAATAGGATGAGTCTGTGCTGGGCTGGATTAGGATTGAGGCATGTGGAGGAGTTCAGATAAAGAGTGGGCACAGAGAAATGCCCTCACCAGACCTCTCTAGGGAGGGGACTTCAGCAGCAATAGCATGTCAGAATGTCTTTTTTTTTTTCAGTCCTTGCATCCAGCTGACAAAATCTTTCCTTGTTTCTGTATCTGTAATTCCAAGAGATCTCTCCGTGCTTCCCACAGCTGTCTAACAGCCTAATACTTTGTGCTTGTCACATCACTTTCCAAAAAAAGGGTCAATGTCACTCTGCCACCCTGACAGACAGAAAAACCAAGGCAAAGAGAAACTCTGGGTGAACGGGGGTCACTTGGAGACCCAGGACCAGCTTTCCTGGTGTGTGTACTCACAGCCCAGACTGGTACTGCCTCTCACATTCCAGCTACAAATTTCACCAGTTCCCCTTTTCCTCAGACTCACCAGAACTGCACTAGTTGGGTTCAGCTCTCCTGCAGTTACACTGCATTTAAATCAGAAATAATTTCAATGGGTTGGATTCTCACTTTTGTAAACAAGAGTGTTCCCTCTGAAACTAGTAGAGTTCATTTTTAGGTCTGAGACGGTGTAACTGCTCTCATGTCATAAACACCCCACTAGATATAAAATACTTTGTTTCTCCAGTGTGGCACATTCACTAACCTCCCTGATCCAGCTTTTCCCTGCAGTGTAACTTCCCCTGTCTGCAAGGTCACCCTGGGGGAGAGGGACAAAAGCCACTTAACCCTTGTCTCCAGTAAAAAAAACCAACCCAACAAAAGCAAACAAAAAGCCAAGTAGGTGTTGCACTGTGATCAAGATACTCCCTTCCCCAGGGGAGTCACAGGTCTGCAAGTGGACAGCTAAAATCCTTTGGGAGAGCTAACATCCTTTGGGAGAGTTAGCATCCTTTGGGAGAGATAACATCCTTTGGGAGAGATAAAATCCCTTTGTTTCTACAGTGCCTTGGGTACCATGGCTTAAACTGCCCATATTCCTCGTAGGAAACCTTCAGACAACATTGTCCAGGCTGCCTCTCAGAGCTTTTCTACTTTTCTGCTCTCTGCTTTAAGTTCCTCTGCAGGGGAAGGACGGGCTCTGGCTGATCACAAATGTGACCTGTCCCACTGAGTTATTGTTGCCTGCTGTGGGGGATGAGCTTTTGCAGTCCTCTGGTTCCTGGTGACGTAGTCCTGGTGCACACACACCCCACACTTGTGTCTTGGGGCTTCAAATGCCTTTATCTATGTCATGCATTGGTTTTTACAGTTTGCTATGAATCACTGATGCCTGCTGGGAACACATACCCGCTTCTGGTTATTTTTATTACAATGTTATAATGGGCACAAGGACACTTAAAAGTGGAACAACTGAGCATCTCTTGGTAGCCAGTGCTGTGCAACTCTCCTGGGATGCCTGAGAACACCAAGATGTGATGCTGAAATGTGTTGCTGTAGTGAAAAGAAATTATTTCCAACATAGTCTGTGTCCTGTGTAGTAGCTCTGCTCATGTGAATGATAGCAGAGTAGCTAAAGCCCTATATCAAGTCTTGGGATATGTGATCAGAGCCCTGGATATGCTGCAGGTTTCCTAAATGAGGGTGGATCAGCCATTTAGGCATTCCAGTTATATTCAACTGTAAGGCAGCTGCTCTTTGTTACCTGACTCTGTGTGGACACCCTGGGATGTCCAGGAAATAGGCTGGAGAGTTTGTTGGCTCCCTTCTACCCAGCATCTTCTGGAAAATCAGTGGGCAGAGACACAAGATTCATGTCAGGATCTCCTTCTGACAAGAAACTGAGACATAGCCTGGAAAAGCACGTGGACAGAAGGTGAAGAAAAAGGGATTAATGGCATGCTGAGGTATTATCCCACACTGATGCTGCATGGTGATGCCAGGCTGAATACATTAAAGTCTGTAAGGAATCCAGATCTATGGAAAAAGGGAACTTATGCAGACCAAGCTTGTTAATAACTACTTGCCAAAGCTGTGAAGGTTTTAGCTTTGAAGGTCATAGTATTTGAAGGACAAATATTTCTGTTCCCAGAGAGAGAAACATGGAACAAAGAAACTCACCTGAGACCTGCTGGGCACTGGGCCCCTTTGGTTTGAGTGTTTAGTGTTCAGTGACTCCTGAAATGTTTGTTATGGATGGGGAGCGTGTTAGAAAAACATCAGGATACTCAGGGAAAACAGTGAAGGGAATGGTTGAAACAAACAATACTTGATATAAAATACCAATAATATCTGCAGTTCCATTAACTCTGGAGGTCTCAGAATGGCCTTCTTTGTCACCTCCAGTTTAGAAGAAGGTCAGACACAAGGGAGGAACTGATTTGCTCAAGGCACACAGCCAGCAAATGGTAGAATTGGGACTAGAAACCAAATCTTTTTACTCTTAGCAGGAAGTGAACAGGTAGGTTTGCTGTAGTTTAGAAAGACGTGGCTACAAGAGGCCCTGAACTAGCAGAGCTCAATTTTCTAACCCCACTGCATGGCTTTGGCCAGCTCCCTGGATTCTGCTTTGTGCTTTAATTCTCCTGTGCCACTGCACACAAAGTAAGTCACTTTTACAGGAAGATGTTATGCCCAAACTCTGCCTTTGGGTACAGAAGGAAATGGCAGAGAAGAGAAGCCACTGCATCCAGCTGATTGGGAGAGTGGCCATGTGCCAGACATCATCTTTTGTGGTAATAACTCCTTTCCAATGGCAGCCTGAGCTATTTGCCTGTCATGATTTGTCTTTTTGTGCTTGGGGAATGCTGGCTGACCTTTGTCTTTGATGTTGCTGGGCCCTTTCCTTGCAATAGGGCAGTTCAGGAGGCCATGACCACATCTGCTTTGGCTGGTTCTGTTATCAATTAATTTGTCCTGCCACATCAAAGAACAGAGATAAAGCTGTAGCATTTCCTTACCACAGATTTTTATCTTCACTCCCCAGTTCACCTCACAACACACGCACCTTCCACCTCCACAGCAAGCAGAGAGAGAGAGACAGACAGAGAAAGAAGCAGAAATGACATCCTAATAACCTCCCTCGAGCGCTGATGGCACCTGGGTCTCTGTGTGCTGAGCCTTACACCCACTTCCAATCTGGCCTGGCCACAGCCAGCCAGTTGCTTACTCCCCCAACAAGTTATTTGTTTTTCTCTCTAGACAAATCAGTGATGTTAGAATGACAAATAGCAGTTATAGCTTTGCACTTAGCTGAGTATAATTTCAGGCCATCAGTACCATCTGTCTCCCTTCTTGGGCTGCAGCTCCATTAAGCGACAGCCAGAGATCCTCAAGGACAAAGAGCCCAACTCACACGGACAGATATTTTAGGGGTCACAATTTGTGACTCTTTGCCCTTTGAGGTTCATTCCAATGAGGCTGGGAAATAAAACCTGATCCAAATTAAAACTTTCCCTGCTCTGCCATGCTGAGCCTTTACTGTCCTTGTTCAGGAGTTCTGCACTGAGACTGGTACTAACCACCATGCAAATTTATCCAAAGGCTTGCTGAGGTGATGCTGTTTGTCTTGGCTGTGAGACAACATTCAGGCTTATTTCTAGGAAATTTCGTGTTCATTTACTACAAGTCATAGTCTGTCTTTCTTTCTTTCTTTCTTTCTTTTTCTTTCTTTCTTTCTTTCTTTCTTTCTTTCTTTCTTTCTTCCTTTCTTTCTCTATCTTCCTTTCTCCTTTCTTTCTCTCTTCCTTTCTCTCTTTCTCTCTCTTCCTTTCTCTCTTTCTCTCTCTTTCTCTCTCTCTTTTTCCCTCTTTCTTTCTCTCTCTCCTTTCTTATATTTTCTGAGGTCTAATTTGATCACATCACAAAACACAGGGGAAAAGCAGTTTTGGAACCATTTTGCATGTGCCATGAAAATGCCCCTTCTTCCACAGCGTGGCTGTGGATGCCCTTCTCTCTCATTGACTAAAGACCCTGTGTACCTTGCAGGATCACTTGCACTCAAAAACCTGTCCTTTCAAATTTGTTTAGGTAAAGTGCAGAATGCAGATGATTCCCAGAATAACTCCTCTGGCTTCATTTGGAACGACAGCAAAAACAAATCTGGACTTAGCTTCTCATCTCAATGGAAGGGCATAGAGGAGCAGTGAGAATCTGTCATTGTTCGTAAAGGACAATGTTACATGAGAGAGAGAGAGAGCACAGGAGAGGGGCAGAGAAAGAGCCTTTTCCTCTCTGCTAAATAAGGGCCACGTTGAGGTGTGTGAGGACAGCGGGGGTCAGCGAGTGCTGGAACTGACTCTGAACTTCTGGCAGAACAATCTCCTGGAACTAAACCCAAGAATACCTTTATGTTCAGCAACCTGCAGGGAGATGTTCCACAGCCAGCTTTCTCCACAAGAGCCAGGTTACAGTGTCTGTACGTGACAGCAACTGAAGCAAAAGCTTTTGTCTTTTAAAACAGAGTAGCTCACAGGCAGCACAGTGGACTCGAGCCTGATATTTAATATCAGACGCCGAGCAAGAATCCATTTGTAACAGAGGAGCCATAAACCATGAGATTATTTGCCACATAACAGGGAGATGGTGGGTGCAGATGTTCAAACACCATGTCTAATTAGAACAGGAACAGATATGTTACAGGAATTAGAATTCCTCCAGTAAGGGTCTAGCTCTGCACACTGGTCTGTTTAAACTACCAGATACTTTGTGTGTCTGAGCCACTTTTCAGCCATGAACCCAAGTGTTTGGCAGACACTCCTGCAGCCTCAGTGCTTCCCTGTCTTAGGAAGGGAGTAAAGACTATGGTCCTCATTTGTCAGAGGGGTGGTTTCACTGAACTTCCACTTGCCTGCACACACAGTCAGTGTCAGGACTAGAAATAAAGTCCAGGAGTCCTGGTTCTCAGTCCTCTCCCATCAGCCATGTTCTCCTGAGCTTGCTTTACCTGCATATCAGGGATTTTGTAGGCAACTACAGAGACAGAGAACAGATTGCCCCCAAATGGGGTCCTTAATCACTCAACTTTTATCACTGGGAGACAGTAGCTTCCCTCCCTACCTCCTTGAAAAGCTTTTAAAATAAACACAGGTACATTAGAACAACAGTCCTTCAAAAAGGGTCCCTTCCTCCCCCTTACCTTCCTTGCTCTCCTGTCATTAAGCAGAGCAAAGCCATCCTTACATGTGACATTTGGACAGATTGACTTAAGCTATTTACTTTAGGCTTTTTTCCCCCTCCCATTCAGGATCACTTTCATTCATTTTTCAAGTGTCTCAAAATTTCTTTTGCTAAATCCATAGATCAGGTGATTCAGAATGAAGCAATGCCATTCTGATAAAAGCACAACCCTGAAGCTTCCCTACTCCTCCCATAGTCCCTTTCTGCTTACTCTTTAATTCTCTAATTAACTCACTAATTCTGCTGACAAAAGGAAAAATACACCAGCAGTGGCAAAGGAAATCTCACCTTTAAATGCCAATTTTCTTTTCTTCCCACAGAGCCTACCTTGCTGGTTAAACTGTTGAGTAATTGTATTCTGGGCTCAGAGTCAGTGGGTCAGATTCTGCTCTGAATTACATCAATAAAAACAACCACTCCAGGGCAACCTTTCATAAATATGCCTGCTTTTAGACCAGTGTGCTCTCCTGCTTGAGGATGCCTTCCTAAACCAAATCCTAACCCAGAATTACCACATTAATGTCAGTGGGACTGACGGGTGACAGAGTTCAGACTCTGAACTCCATCACAAGGCTTTTCTCTCTCTCCCAGCAGCAGAAAAGCAACGAGCAGTTTTAACACAACCCTCCTGACTCACATTCTCTGCTCAGCAGAAGTCCAGGAGCTTTGCTGGGTAGATTGAAGGTGCAGTGGCATAGATACGTGTCTGAAGTGAGGATGTGCCATGCTGTGGATCCTGTTGGGGCAAGGGCTGAACAAAGATCTGCATAATACCCTCTTATCATGAGCTTTGCCAAGCCACTCTCACTATCAGACACTTTTTTTCCCTCTTATTGTTCATCTTTCTTGCTTGATGGCAACTGGAAGGTTTTGGATATTTCCTCTAGTTCTGTATTAACTCCTCCTGAGGAAAATGTGGTGTAAGTCACCTCTTTTGAGAACACACAAAAGGAGGGGCAGAGGGAAAGAATTAGGGATGCAGGATCTGTTGAGTGACACCAAGTGATGTCCATGGTACAGAATGGTCACATTGTTGGGTAACTGGAACTGCAGTTTGTGGTCCTCTTGAGACAGTAGCTCACTGTAAAGTTAAGTCTTTCTCTGTGCATACAGAGTTTGAACTAGGGGAAATGCTCAAAATATATAAACAGGAACTAGTCTTGCAAAGAAGATAAGCTTTGGAGTGAGGGGGCTGTCTCTTCCAGTGTGTATTTAGTGTCTACTGCAGTGGGGGCTAATGTCATGTTGGGATGCTGGGCCTCCCTCAGTGTGTGTACTGCTGTAATACACAGAACTACTTCCTTCCATTCACTGCCTTTTTGTGGCATTGTTTTGTGTGATTGACTCCCTTTTTCATCCAGAGGCCAAAGAGTGATTATTGGAGATTGCCAGCTCCAGACCTGAATTGTTTTATTCAGGAAGTTAATTAAAATCAACCCACCTCTTTAGAAAACCTTCTCGAATACAGTCTGGATGCTCCTTTCATCTCAGTGTTACTACTTCTTTTTTTTTTTTTTTTTAATCAGAGCTCCTTAAATCATGGAAATAACTTGGCAAAGGAGCTGTATTACAAGAAAAATCAGTTAGGAACGTAGGTAAAGGCACATAATAGGTCTTTAGAGGAGAGGAATGAATTTAATTGAGTGAAAGCTCAGAAAACCCAAAAGTAAACTCAGGGTCATCAGCATGCTTCTTTCACTTATCCCTCAGTTGCACTTCATAGATCCAGGCTTCCTTTTGCTCTGCTGTTATCACACTTTCCTTTTGCTGTGATTTATTAACTGTGGAACTGTCAAATTATGAAACTGAGGTTCTAGAAATACTTATTAATGTTTGAGAAATTCATTTCACACTTGAATACTTTTTCTAACACTTACTAATGTCCCTCATTTTGGTCATGTGGGTCTACAGGGCAAGAAAACAAGGTATCTTATTATATATTTAGCATGTGGAGATGAAGGATGAAAAAAATGTCTTTTAAAACCCCCTCAAACATTGCAGCAACCCTATGCCTTTGGTCCTTGTGCTGCTGGATGTGGTGACTGTGTGTGTGTGTGCATAAGCAGGGCAATGTCTGTACATTCAGTGACACCATTCCAGCTCCCTTTCAGTCACTATTAAGAAAGCACTTCTAATCCCCTCTGAGAAGCTCGAACATAAAATTCCTTTCATGCCAGTTTTGTCTTCCTCAGTTTGGCAAACACAGACCTTCCCCCTGTGATTCCAATGGAACTTGTAATTCAAAAGGCATTTCTGTTTATTATTACCCTGTTAGTGCACAGGAATCATCAGGGATGCCAGGACTGCTCAGGCAACAAGGTTACTCTCTGAGCCCTCTGTTGCAGTTTTGTAGTGCAAACAAAAATACAGCAGGCCAGAGATAAATGATGATTACTTTACTCACTATTTAATCAGAATAATGAACCTAAAATAATTATTGAATAATTACTTGCCTCGAGATCCTTGGGAGCAAGTTTGCCACATTTATTCCCCACACAAAGTTTTCTGATGGGAATTCGTTTAAAAAGTAGAAAGGAAGACCACCAAAAATGTCAAAGTTTATGAATTTGCTCTCGCAGGACTGGAACGTTTCTACTTCTTGACACTCAGTTTTGAAACGTGTTACGTTACACCAGTATCAAATTCAACAGTTCTAAACCGGTATAGTCTTACTCAAAAGGAGGTTTTCCTTCAAAATATAATTTTGCACAGGATACTGAGCTCTGTGTTTCCATCAGCATTAATGAAGTCAAGTTTAGTGTTTAACCTGATCTGCTCAAAGCAGTCCTGTTCCCCTGCGTGCTCAGAGAGCCATCATCTGATAGGAAATGGCCGCAATACCTCCAGCTTTCCTAAAACACTGACGGTTTCAACCGTTTCTTAAGAAATACTCACTGGGGACTGCAGATGCTTCTGCTTTAAAACACAACCATCTTCTTCAGCTTCAATGGGTGACTCCTTTCAGCTAAAGCAGTGACACCTCTGGTGTAACACTGAAGTCACCCAAAGGAAGGAGTGACCACCAGATGTTTTTCCTTGACATCCCTCAGCACAGTGCTCTCCTCCCTCTGCTCCCTCGCTGGTACCATCCCTGATTTTGAAAGGACCATAACATCTTTCCTTCAGGCAAGTATTTCATGCCAGCACTGGGAACATTGTTTTTTTTTCAAAGGAAACGCCAGGAACCATTTCTAGTTTTTCACATTTGGTAAACTACTCCTCATGAAAACTGAGTGCAGCAGAGGTGCCTTCTCCAATGCACAGGTGTCCACTGCACGCTCAAAACACCAGAAGGGGAAAAAAGAAACCCCTTTGGCACAAGAAACATGGAAGACATCATTTATTTTTCTTACCTACAATGAGAGGTCTGAATTCTGGTCTTGTTTAATCCAGCACAGAAGCCAGTGATGGGATGGGCTGGAGTGTTTGCTCTGCTGTCTCTTCTGTTTAAGCTGAGGACAAGACAAAACGTTCATACAACAGTGAATCCTCCCTGGGGCCCAGCCCCGATCACAGCTCTGCCCCACGGACCTGGATGCCCCTCAGTGCCCGTGTTTTCCAACCTGCCAATGTATAAGTGCTTAATTTTAGTATGTAGGAAAATGCTCACGTGTGACTGCAACCCCCCTAAATTCTGTACACACAAATTCAGCAGATTGTTTGGATTGTTTGAAAGTTTGTCTTTGAACATCTCCTCTGTTGCTCTTTCTTTGCTACTGCCCTTCAACTTTTGTGTCTGTAGACCTGAAGTGCCATGTGGAAGAGCCCCTTTTACATCAGCTGAAACTACTATTTCTTCCTTAAACTGTACACATGGGTCACTATTCACTCTGGAAATTGCTCTGCCCTTGATAAATGCAACTTAATTTTTGTGTGAAACAAATGTCGAAATATCTCCGTGAACAGTTTTAAACTTGACAGGTCAGTTCTATAAATCATTTATTTGTTTTAATGTTACTTAGCATCCCTGAATCTAAAAGCATTTCGTACAGATGTTTCCCTGACCATTTCAGTAATGATATAGCTCATTGTTAATGCTTCCATTTCACAGAGGCACAAACTGAAATGCAGGTATCTGAGAAGTGCTATTGTTTTTGGGAGGGTTCAGCACTGGCTTCTGATTTCTAGGACTCACTTTGCTGAGGGCTCAGCTCTTCTAAAAAAAACTGTCTACAAGGGTCAGAAAGAAACTATTAAATTGCCTGACACCTATTAATCTACTCCTCTTTTAGGTCCGTAGCTGTGAACTGAGCTCATTGAAATAAAATCTCTCATACTTGTGAGATCATGTATTAGAAAATCAGTCCTGGTGTGCCCAAAAAGTTGGCCCCACATTACATTATTTCCTTACACAAATAGTAATAAAATACTTCTTTTTTTTTTTTTTTTTTCCCCCAGAAGATATTTTATTTTAGGGAAATGCAACAGGAAAGAACAAAAGCAAAATTCCCATTTGTGAAAGCACAGCATGTGCAACTTCACTGTAACAGGCAGCAAAAGGTCTAAGAGCAGAAAAAGGACTACTGAGACCTGCACACAGAATTTCTTATAAATTAGCTCAGAAAACCAAAGGTAGAGCACTGTGTGCTAAGGGAGGCTCGGATCATAAAATATTTTTAAAGTCCTTTAGCAATATTAAAATTCTGCTCAGCAACAACTATTGTAATGCAATTTTTCCCTCTCCTCGCTCAAGAATCAATTGTGCAGCCATTCTCTTTGTTAAAAAGATTCAAAACTCTAAAAAAAAAAAAAAAAATGGATTTAGTTGAGTTCTCACCCTGGAAAAATGAGTGAAAGTGCTTAATCCATCGGTGTTGGTGCACAAAGTGCATTTGTTGTGCTGCTGGATGTAACACGAGCTGAACCAGGGCAGGAGAGCGAAAGCTTTGCAGCCCCTGATGGATTTCAGATTTATTAGACACTGGAATGTTTTTTTTCCCCCCTTGTCTATAAGAACATGGTGTGTAAGATGATAAAGGGCAGGAATAAAGGGAGCAGACATTGTAGCCCTTAAAATTAAAACAACTGTTTCTAGATTTTCCAAGTGTCAGTGTATGAAAAACCAGCCTAAATAGAAGTGTTGCATTATTCAGTGTGCTTTCCTCCTGGAAAGAAAAACATTTTGCAGCCACTGACAAAGCTATGGACATGTGACTAATACTACTTTTATTTTCCTATATGGAGAAAAAACCCATCACAAAGCCTAAATGGAATATTTATGCTGTAAGATAATACACTCATACCTGTAAATTATGAGTGCAAGCTGTAATAATTCATCTTTAGTTTCATTACTCATGCACTATGGAGCTTTCAAGATTAGGGATAGATTTGTTATGCCACTACACTCCAGTATATGTTTTCCCTTTCTTAACCCTCTCCCTCTTCTCTGGCTCACACATCCTGTACAGTAGGAGCAAATTTCTTTGCACCAACACATACAGGCTGTATAAGCTGCACAGAACTGGCATCATTTTCAAAGGACATATTAATGATCCATTTTATGATGTTAACCAGGCTGAAAAAAAAATTAGCTCAGCGTATAGGGATATGATTTCAAATAAATTTGGGAGGAAAGTTTCCTATTCTGAGAAGAGCTCCAAGATGTAACATTAATAAAAAGCTCTTGTAGTCTAATGTTACAGGGTAGTTCTCTTGAGCTTCCAGGATGGGAACCACAGTGGTCTGCTTGTGGCAGCAGTAGTTTTGTTCCAGTGTCTATATGCTGCTTTGTGAAAGGGAATAGCAAAAATCTGGAATGAATTGCTTCAATGATTAGATTTCCCATGAAAATATAAACAACACAACTATTCACTGAAAGAGAACTTATGTTTAATATATAAGCAGAGGAATAAACAAGCTCTGTTCTTCTATTTTTGACTCTGTCTGTATTTTAAGTGTCTGAAAGCAAAGACAAGGCCAAGGAGACAGTTTGGGCCAGTGTTCTGAGCACTCCAGGCTCTGCTGGGGTCTGCTATTGAGGTATTGTGTAATCTTGGGTGAGTCATTTAAATTCTTTATGCTCTGATTTCACCACTCTGTAAAATAGGTGTAATCCTCCCCCATTTACCTCAGACAGCAAAAATATCTATAAAACATCTTAGATGACACGTTATGTTCAGGCAAATTTTCCTTCAGTAAAAAATTCTCCGTGTGAGCTGTATTTGTCCACAGATCTTTTTGTCCTGCAAATCTCTGCCCACAGACACACACACACACAGAGTCGTGTCAGTGCTGTCTGAAAAATGAGATGAACATGCCTTTACCATGAAATCAAAACCATCATTCTGCTCCTATAACTGCAGAAATTGCACTAACTATCAAACTTTTAAGTCTTTTCAAAGACCAAATCTTGCTTGTCCTAATCAAGTGAGAAGTCCCAGTAAGAATCAATAGGATACTTCAAACCATTAAAGAAAGCAGGATCTGGCCTCTTGTAGAGCATTGAGGTAAAACAGACACAGTGCTGCAGTTTGCATTGGACAGCTCTCAATTAGAATGTCAAGATTTATGGTGTATTTTATCCGGTTTTCATTCTCTGCTGTTCAGTTTAACTTTTGACCTACGGTTATTGGCAGAAGAGGGCTTGTCCCAGAGGGCCATTAGCCCCTTCCAAAGAGGCATTCTAAGAAGTGCCAAAAAAGAGGGTGGGAAACAGGTCTCTTTGTAACAGGACCCCTCCTCCTTCTCTGAAATGCTCACACAATCGATGTGATAGCCAGGGTACAAGAAAACAGGAGATTTTTCTGCACTAAGTATTTCAGGTCTTGCATTATTCCTCTTCTGTCCTGCCCTGACAAGAGATTGGATGGAAGCAAATCTTGTAGAAAGGGTCAACACCAGTTGTGCCCAAAAATCTGCATGGACTCAGAGTAAAAGAAAATGGAGGTATAAATACAGAGCACCTGTACTGAGACCTTAATAAGAGGCAGAGTAAGGTATGGCATCCAGGTGTTCTCCAGAGGATTGGAGTTCATAGAGCTCCCAGCCAATATGGCACACAACATCCTTACAATATATGGTAGAAGAGTTGCTGATACATCCTTGAATTTGATTTAAAAAATGCTTGGAAATAAATAGATTTATCCAGGTGTGATAGCCCTGCCCAGTGCATTCCCTACAAAAAAAGGAGAGGATGGCTGTGCTGAAAGGGAGCCTGCTGGCATGCAACTGGCACGATTTCTCAAGGCAAAACCCTTAGACTGATGAAAATATCAAACAGGATCAGTGATCTTGTGCTGGTGGCACAGATTAAGGGTAGCGCTGTAAATGTGGAGGCCCGGAGTATTCCAGGGGAAGACCTGTATGATCCTGGCCGTTACAGCATTAGGAAAAGAATGAAATGCAATAGGATGAGAAGCCAGGCTGTGCAGTCTGAGATTAATAAGAGCGACGCTCCGTGGTGAGCAAGACGCTCCTCAGATGGAGACGTCCTCACAGCATCGAGGTTCTCCAAGGGCCTTCCCACGGACACGGGGGGGGGGGACAAAAATAACCCAGCTCGCTTTAGGATAGCGCCCTTCATTTGCAAAAGGGATTATATAACTTGCTTGCCTCTAACAACAGAGGACTAGTTTGATGAACCAGAAGGCCCCTTCCAGTCCTATTGTTCCTGTTATTCCCAAAGTTAAATTAACACCAACCTTGCCTGGAAACGTCGTTCCTGCACCTGTGGAGAGGGAGTTTGCCCTGGAGCTCCCACGATGAGATGTCTCTGTAAATGGGAATTGAAAACTCTGTAAATGGGAATAGAAGAGATGCCAGGTCTGTAATTTAAAAAAAAAAAAAAAATAATAGATCTAAATCCTCCTGATTTGGGGGGCAGAAAGGCTCATAAGGACACAGTGTGCTACAGGAGACCGGCCTTAAATTCCCCTCAGGAGCAGCTCACGGCCTGTGGCACAGCATCTGCCCCCTCAGAGGGCACCCACTGTCCTCTGCCACCCTGAAGCAATTGGGGCAGAAACACTCAGCTCGGGAAAGTGACTTTTCTGTAGACAGGCTCCCACCTCTTTCCCTCAGGTCTTCCTTCTCACAGCCGTCCCTGCCTGTCAGGACGACAGGGCCTCCATACCCTACAGACTTGGCCTCGCACAAATCCTGGGCCTGGGAGCAATCTCTCCCCCTGTATCATACATATATATGTGTTTTAATATGGAATATGTGACAGGAGGTGAAATTCAGCTGTGCAGGGCTGCCGGTAGGTTGTGAGGGGCAGGGCAGGGCCCCTGACTGGTTCCACCGCCATGTTGGCTGCTGAGGGGAGTGGGCCTTGCCCCGGCAGGTGCTGTGAGGGCACCTCTGCCCCCTCAGGGCAACAAAGCTGGTTAAAGTGATACCAAAGTGGGATAACACAGCCCAGGGTCTGTGGAGTGATGGCGCTGCCTCTGGATCTCTCTTCAGGATACAAATTTAGGTGTAAAGATGCTCAAATCGAGTAACAAAATGGAGGCAAAGCTGTGGCAGTGACTGCCTGAAAGCGGGCGGAGCCATCAGAGCACACAGCCCAGAGCAAAGGAGGGTAAGTGAATTAACAGCTATTTAAAACGTGTGAGAATAGAAATTGCCCCTCCCTGACTCCCCAACCCTGTGGAGCGGAGGAGAGGAACAGGCCCTCGGTCTGGCAGGGTGAACACCAGCACCTCACATTTAGCGAGCGTCCCTTGTGCTGCCCTGTCACTCTCACTGCTGCTCCTGACGGTGGGACTGCACGGTGGAGATGGTGTTTTAGCATATGTGACATCTTTTCCTGGAAGACTATGATTAGAGAACCTTTAGAAACAGTCAGGGAACCTTTGGAAATTACTGCAGCTGGCATCTGGGTTTCAGGGCAGCGCGGGGACAGGTTCAAGCTGCAGGGCAGGAGGCAGGAGCAGGATAGGGATGGCATGGATGTACCTACCCCTCCACCTTCTGTCACCTCCACAGCAGCAGCAGTAGCAATTTGGAAGGGGGCTGCAGCAAAGACACAGGTGTCTGCCAGGTGACATGTCCCTGGAAGGGAGCTGTGCAGGGAATAAGCCAAGGACACTTTCCTCCTGGGAGGAGCTGACCCAGCCACCAGAAGGTGCCAGCCCCCAGCTTTCTGTTCCAATTCCCAGCGTGGTTTAGCAGTGCAACAATTTGCTCACAAGACACAGAGCGGAGCCCACCTACTCATTCCTCTGCGCAGCCACGAGACGATAATGACTCTCAGTCAATGGCGTGGCTTTGAACAGATGCCTGGAGGTGAAAGGATCTGTATTCCATTACTAGCCCCTTCGACTAGCCAGGGTCCCCCAGGTTAAATATTTTTAGCAACAGCTTGTTTACATGTCAAACTTGTCAATGAGCTTCTGGGGCACTGCTGCCACAAAGCTGTGTTGGTGGCAGCCCGTAAGCTTTCTCTATGCACGGAGCTAATGCCTTCTAAAGGGCTTGTCAGATATATTCTTCCCACTGTGTCACAAGAGCAAGACTAATTTCAAAGAAATGCTCTTTATTTCTACTTAAAACTGCTAAGGAAAATATCCAGCACTGTCTTTTTTCTTGTCATCTGTTCGACAAGTGTCTCATAAAACAAATTGAGAGGTTTAAATCTCCGAGACAAAAATCAATAAGAGGATAAGTAAAGAATAGGAGGAAGTCAGCAGGCTGAGATTTATTTCATTGGAAATGTTTTTTCAGTGGATTTACTAATAAATCTAAAGTGGCTGGTGCAGCTGCCTTTGATATGCAGTATCCCCTTTACTTAGATGGAAGCTGCACATGAAAAGGAGCTTTGAATACTGATTTTTACAAGGGTGTAAATCAGCAAAGCCCCACACGTTACATATACCACCAGCATCTGGTTCAGGTAGAAGTTAAGAAAAAGGATTTGTTTGTGTGCCAGAGTTTTCCTCTGTAGTTTTGCCATTTTTTGTTTAATATATTGCAGTAGTTGTGATCAGGGCCTTGCTGTGCTGGACACTGAACAATCTGATGTAATAAAATAATTTCTGTCCCAAACAGTTTATAGAGCTTCAAGGGTAAGAAACTCCATTGAAATAACAAACATGGGCTGATCAGCAGTGAAATCACAGGGAATGATGTTTGTGATGGTGGAACAAAGCTGTGGCATCTCTTGAAAATCTGCTCCAATGAGCACTTCCCTTGTGGTGAGGTGAAACTGGGAAAAATTTAAATTAAATGGATGATTTGAAACAGATTTACAGATAAAGAAAACGAAATAAACTCCTGAAACAGTCAGGAGAAGGTCGGCATGGGCTGACTACCAGTCATTTTTAGGTTGATCCCACAGCTGGCCTTTGTTCCAGGAAGAAGGGATGTTCTCCTGAGCGACAACAATAGTGGCTATTACTGAAATGGATGCACTTTGATGTGGGCATGCAGCAATGGCAAAGGACTGCACCCCAGTCCAGAATGCCCTCCCTGCTGCACATGCCCCCAGACTGTGAGCTTTTCCAAAGGCCCCGTGGATGAAGAGGAAGCTATAATGAGCTCCTTGTTGAGTAATAGGAGTGGTTTGCTCCAGTTGGCACACATGACAGATGGCTGTGGGTAGGGAGCGAGTGGCTGGGGTCTGTGGATGTACATATGTGCTAGGAGGGGTTCCAGGATGGTTCCGTGGCTCACTATTCTATTTCCAATTAAACAAATAGTCCTGGATGCTTTTACAATGTCAGATGGGAAATCAGCCAGAAACCAGCTGATATCTTATTGTTCCTTGTTCTTCAATCGATTCTGCGTCTTTCAAAAGATTTCTCTGCACCAAACATGTATCAGAACATGGTTAAGCTCCGTTGTTCCAGCTCACAAATTTGATGTTAGGAAGAAATGTCGGAAGTGAGAGTAAATCAACAGAAATGGCCATTTTCATCCCCTTGTATGGTTTTTCTCAAGTCAACATGAGAAACATTTCACAGCTAACTGTGAAAACTGGCACCTCATTACCTACTTTATTATTTCTTATGACTTATTAAGGGTTATTATCATTGTTCATTATCCTTTTTGATAGTGCATACCCTGGCTATCCTATCGTGTTATTACTGGGTAGTAGTAGCAGACTCTTACATTTAGGTCACTTAAACAGCTTGTATTTAAAGATTCCTATGGATATTAGTCTGAAGGGTGCAACCAGTACTGTGATTTGAAAATGGAAAGAGGGAAAATGTGGAATGCAAACTGTGTGGTTATGTGCTAAATGACTGTGTCACAGAGCCATACTCACTGTGGGGCTGAACTGAGCTTGCATGATCCACCTGAAGTCTGTAATTTCCATCATTTTCAAGCACCTCACATTGGAATCAAGGTAACCTCACATTAACACAGTGGTTTTTAGTGCAGCCATGTATATATATGTTATACAAACTCACACACATGTATACAAACATTGTGGAAAGTCAGACAACCTTCATAGCAGACAATGCTGCCACTGTTTTCCATAACACACAAAGACACACACTTAAATCTCCGTAATTGAAACAGGGATAATGCATTCCCTGTGTCACAGAGCTTTAAGGATATATTATATGGTGACTTATGGGTTTCACCATAAATTGTTGAATGTCATGAAGTGATGGCCATAATTCATACAACCCTTAACTCTGTACCAGACATTCCAAGAGGGCAGTACAGTTCTGCAACACGGGCAGGTGTGATCCCCATCTCTCTGAGGAAGGTGCAGAGAATTGACAAAATCCATATTGTGAATCAGCAGTACAGCTAAAAATAGAACCCAAGCTTTGAGTATCGGCTTTTGCCAAAACCTGCCCAGCAGGGTGGCATGACAAGGACTGCCCAGACCTTAGTTTGACTTCCAAGTCAAGAGCGGGACCCTTCACGTTCTGGCAGTAAAGCAGTACCACAGAATCACAGGATCACAGAATGTGCTGAGTTGGAAGGGGCCCACAAGGATCATGGAGTCCAACCCTTATGCAAGAACACCTCTGCTTTTCAGATTCCCTGGAATCTCTGCAGAGGGAGAACGTTGCACGCTCTGCTCCCACCTCACCACATCATCTCCACGCCACAACGCCCTGTCTGGCTTTTCACTCAAAATCCACCACCCGTGTCCTGACCCTTTTCCATCTCTCACAAGATCAAAGTCCCAAGAACTTGAAAGACACACAGTGACATGATTTATCCTCAGGGGAGTATGATGGCTTCTGAAATTTCCTTCTCCCCTGGATGCCACACTGTCCCCCTGCCCATAAGATGGAAATACTGATTTTGTCTCTGATCTGGCTTGTGTAAATATATGTGAGAGAATAGCTAATGGCATTGCACAGGGACACAGAGCAAGAAGTTGCAGAGAAGAAGGGGATATTAACTCTTCCACTCTTTTAGATTTCCAGGCTGCAGTGTAATCCTACAAAATTAAACAATATGATCAGGATTTCCCCTTTTCCTCGTGACCTGACTTTTTAAAGCTAGGGCTAAGAACTGCAGCACATTTCTTTTCCCAAAGCAAAACACGATCCTGGATAAAAGTCAGTTTAGTTGAGAGAAAAAAGTAAAACAAAAATAGATCTTTTCCATAAACAAAGCTGCTTTCCATTTTGCTAACATAAACAGGCAGATGCATTAAGAGATCATGCCACCCAAGCCCTGGAAAAAGAAGCAGGAAAATATATTTCTGAGTATTTTCCTGAAGGTGCAAGGATGGCTGAGCCTAAGGCAAACAGAGCAGAGGGACAAGGCTTTATAAACAGGGCAGTTTTACAGTTTCACCTGAGATTCAGAAGAACTATCCTTCCATAGTTAGGTCAAAAGCAGCATCCTCTCCTTCCTAAATGAAATCTCTGCTTATAGTAGGAACCTGTGCACGTGGTATGCCTTCAGTCACCCTAAATTTTCACAGAAATACAGGTTTTTGCAGTAGTCTCTACGACTGTGTAAACAGAATTTCAGGTCTATGGGCATGGATGTGGAAAACTGGATGGGGCAAAAAAAGCCTTTCAGAAATTTAAGTCTCACCTTTGCAGACTGAGAGGCTACAGGGAAGCGCTGTGTGAATGAAACCTCCTCCCCCAAGGGACCAGGGGATAAAACAAGAGAAATAAGAAATGATTGGTGTCCTAATGAAGGGCTGGATTTGCTGACAACCCAGCTGAAGTCAAGCAGCTGGGATGGACCCTGTTCTGTTAAAGCCCACACATCTTTTCTCTCTCACTAGAAACATTCCCTTAGTGGGAAATTGGTCCTTTTATACTGCAAGACCCACATACCGTTTAAGCCATCAAAATAATCTTTCTGTAATTGTCTGGAGATGCCCACAGTCTAGATGTCAACAGGCATCTGTAGCTAAAT